TTCTGATTAAGATTAGTTACTTTCACTTTTCCTCCATTGAAGTCCCATTTCATTGGAAGCTAAGTGGTATGATGGATAGATCATTGGGCCTAGAGTCAGAAAGACCCGAGTTCAAATCCAATCTCAGACACTTACTAGTTATATGACCCTGGGCAAATCACTTAACCTCTATGTTTCTTAGACTGCATAATCGGAATAATAATAGCACCTGTTGTTGTTCTGAGGATCAAATGAGTTAGCACAGTGCCTGCTACATAGTAGGGATGATATAAATGCTTATTCCTTTCTCTTTCCTCTTCCCTTCCATTGCCTCTTCATGGCAAGGGGGTGAGCCTGGATTATCAAAAGATAATGCTGGTGCTGTACAAGTTCTCTCAGGTCCTACCAATCTAGAACAGTTTTAAGGATAAGTCCACCAGTAATAAGAGTGGACATTTGCTGTTTGAGGACCAGCCAAGTTAAGTTTGGAAAAGGATATGATCAAGTTGGTGGCAAGAACTTAGATAGGAGGGGCAGCTAGGTGGCGCAGTGGATAGAGCACTGGCTCTGGAGTCAGGAGGACTTGAGTTCAAATTCAGCTTCAGACACACAACACTTACTAGCTGTGTAACCCTGGGCAAGTCACTTAACCCCAATTGCCTTCACTAAAAAAAAAAAAAAAAAAAAAAAAACCTTAGATAGGGATGGATCTTTCTAGCCATAGTAGCCCTTAAACACTAGTCACTCACCCATGGAAGGGTCAGTAAGTCCATCAATAAGCACTGGTGGAAGAAGCAAGTACCCACACCAATTAAATCACATATCTATCAAGCATTTTAATGTATGTATCTATGTATATACATAGAGAATAGTAAAACCTGAGAGTGGTAGCCCTTTAAAATTTAATAAGGTACTCTGTCACTGAGTTCTCATGACCAAGACTCTTATTGAATGTCAATAAGCTTTTAAGAATGAGCGAAATGCACAATTGCAATGGCCTAAAACTGCCTTGCTCTGACCAAGAAGAAACTGCGTCATAGTCATAACTCTTTTTAATCAGATAAGGTAACCAATCTGGTAACCCTCCCTGAACAATGGCAATCCCTAAGTGAAGCTGACAGTTTTCTCTGTCACCTTGCCCCAGTTTCTCACTTCTTTCTGATAAAAACATATTTGTTTGACATCACACAATACTTTATATGATTCTATTGGCAATGTTCTAAAATCTTCATTCTGTTTCAGCCATAATTGTGGATTTCCTCTTTTTTTTTTTTTTTTTTAGTCTTCCCCCCTTCTTTTGGTCCAGACCTGTGATCTTATCCTCTGTAAGACACCTCTGGGAAGCAATACAATGGAGGTTCTAGGGGCACTTGGTCTGCAACCTAACAGTCTTGGAGTGTTGCAGGGGACATTAAGGGGTTAAGTGAATTGCCTAGGACTAAGTGGACATGGATATTAACCACTACTCATGATGTTATGGGACAAATGTTTTTCTTGATTTAAAAAATAAAATCTTGCCCAGAGAAAGCTATAGGGCTAACATTTATATAGGGTGTCCCCAAAGTCTTGGCACAGTTCACTAAGACTTTTGGTACATCTTGTACAATGTGTGTCCAAAGTGCTTTGGATACATTACTTCATTTGATCACAGTCTGGACCCAGAGGTTCTTAACTTTTTTTTTTTTGTCATAGACCCCTTCAGTAGTATGGTGAAGCCTATGGACCCCTTCTCAGGATAATGGTTTTTGCGCACATTCATAATTGAAGAAAAATGCTAAATTTCAATTAGATGTTAGAGAAAATAAAGGTGTATTTTTCCCCATCCCAGTTCATGGATCCCCAGAAATCTGTTGTCTGTGAACTCCAGGCTAAAAAGTCTGAATGTAGAGATATCTTCAAAAATGCATTTGGTACACAATGAAAGTATATTGAATAATGGATGAATCAATGAATGAATGAAATAAAGCTAAAATTAGGACAAATGGCTTCATATTAGAGAAGGAAGTTGGAGAGCAGTTTAGATGATTTAGCAGTATTAACAGGAATGTGGATGATGACAAAGAAAAGTCCATCTCTCCTGTCCTGCATTGAGAAAAGCAAGGCAATATAATTTTTTCCTCCATTTTTTTTCTGTCCCTTCCTTATGAGGGCATCAATGCTACTGTTGGTAGTTACTGTTACATACCTGCCCCCGCCCCATCCATACCCTCAATCCATGAACATAGGTCAAAATTACCCCTATTTCAGCTGGAGCCATTCTACAATGACTAGCTTTGTCTATGTGACCTAAAGCTTGTCTTGAGGATTGGATTACCTTCTCAGCAAGGTGACGCCTCAATTTTTTTTTTTTTAACAGTAATCAGCTTTCCTTTCTTTCACTGTGGGCTTTCATCTTAGCAGAAGCAAAGACACCAAGTATTATTTCTCTTTCTTAGTTATTGGTAAGAAAACTGTTTTCAGAGTTGTTTAAACACTATATTTCTTGTACATAATAAGTACCTGAAGTAAGCATCTTGTTCTCTCAAAATTCAGAAGGAAGAAAAGTCTTTAACTCAAAGCTAAAGCATTCTGGGCACTAAACAGTTCTACAAAAGTTACTAGGTGTTTTGCCATTTTTAATTTTTAATATAACTTTTATTTTAAAGTACCAAGTTAGCTGAGATTCTTAAAATCTAGCCAAGGCTTAGATTCTTATAATCTAGCCACTGGTCAGATTCTTATAATCTAGCCATGGCTCACCCATGTTCAAACTCCTTAAGAGTCTGCCCAATATGATGGATGTTCTAATAAACCTTGTCTTTGGCTGAAAAAAAAAATAAAATAAAATGTGAAAATGCTTAAAAAATACTATATATTTTGTTCCTTCTTTATGAATGTTGTTATTACTTTTATTATTCTCTTTTCTAGCTTTATAAAGTAATCCTTTGGTAGTTCAATTGACATGGCACAGAATAAGTAAATGGATTTAGGTAGTATCGCCATTTTTATTATGTTGGCTTGGCCTACCCTTGAGCAATTAATATTTCTCTGATTTATTTCTATAAAGGATATTTTGTAGTTTTGTTCATAAATTCAGGTAAGTAGGGCTGCAGGAGAGCTTCAAGTTTGATTCTTCGCAAATAAAATCACAAGTATTTTACTTTCTGTAATATTAAGAGAATTTCACTTTCTATCTCCCCCTGCCAGACTTTGTTGGTAACATGCATAAATGCTGATGGCTTAATGTAAGTTTATTTTTCCAATCCAATAAATATTTATTAAACACGTACTGTGTATGAAGCACTGGGGATATAATTAGTAAAGAAAATAAAGACAGTTCCTGCCCACAAGGAGCTTACAACTAATGAGAAGAAACAACACAAAAAGAGACAGAAAAAGGGTGGGAGGGACATTGAGGGGTACCCAGTATCAGGACATTTTTTTCTGTGGAGTTCAAAACCAGGCAGAGCAGCAGATAAAGAAAAAAAATAATAAAGTACTAAGTTACCCAGCAATTATTTTTGATGACTACAGATTTTCCCCTCTTTACTTTCTTAGATAGTTAATAGTTACAGTGCTATTAAAGAGTTGTTTATATTCTATAAAATTGAGTTACTGCTGTTTTTGTGCTTCACCTTTAATTATTGCTGAATTAATTTATAGCTCACTTCCTTTCTCATACTTCTAGCTGTATGACTCATGAACAGTATCTCTTTGTTTCTCTTTTACTTTTCATAAAATTATAACTAACATTTATATAGTGCTTTAAAGTGTGCAAAGTGCTTTATTTACATTTTATCATTTTATTTTCTCATCTCCTTATCTCATCAATACCGGAAGTATGATGGCCAATTATGGTTAGGATTCCATTGCTGATTGGCATAGAAGCTTTGACCTACTCAATTTCCAACCTGAGCTATTTGACTTCCTCCTTATGCAGCCTGGTGGCTCCTGCTCCCAAGGGCTTACCTTATTGGTGCTAGACTTAGTGTGGACACACCTGACTGACTGTAGCCCTCCTGAAGCTCAGAACTCCCAAACTCCAATGCTCTTTCAGCCTCAGTATCCCCTAGTAGCAGAGATTACAGGTATACAACACCACCTCTGGCACATTTCCCTTCTTTCTTAGAATATTCTGAACAAAATTTAAGCTTTTCTTAATGTCAGGATCATTATGAAAATTATGTATTGCACAATGATGTCCTCTAAGTCTACTGAAGTATGTATGTCTCAGTTAAACACTACAATATCTTAGGTCTCATATTTACTTTTTTTAAAAAAGAGTTCTTTCTTCTCTTCTGCTGCCAGGTTCGGTTGACATTTTACTTCTTATTATAGTGAGTACCACAGAAAGTATACTTGCCTATACCAGTCCCTCCCTTCGATGTAATTTCTGGCTTCCAATTTGTTTTGGGTTAAGAAATAAGACAACCAACCCCATTAAAAATACATGCAAAGTAAAAGTAAATAGTCCCTATATGAACACTTGCCTATTAATAAATAAAGCATATGTGCTTATTTTCTTTGGTGCAAGAATCCTGGGATCTTTATTTTGACTTCTCAAACATCGTTTTGGTTTCTACCCAATCCTCAGTTGTGCTCTAGACAGGCAACATTGCTAGACAGCTGAGATCTTGACGAGGAAGGTATTAGTCTATTTGTGTTTTTTAGGAAGTGTTCACTGATAGAGTATCTTTTTCTAGTTCTGATAGAAAAGCTGGCCTCAGGCCATTGACCAGGCAAAACCTCTTCTTCACTTGTACAATTCAAATAGTGATAAGATAACAGCCTTACACAATAACTTTACAAAGTAATGAACCTTGTTCACAAAGTATATGGCCCAATACAGGAAAACTATTTTGGACTGGGTATTGGTCAAAACTCTTGTTATTTAAACCTGTGTATAAATGCTTAACATCCTGTCATTTATTGCAAATGTTAGTCTATCATCAAACCTAGGAACTGTAGGAAATGATATGATTCAGCTATGTATTCTAGAGCCATCTATCACTCATCTATTGATTTCTTTGTTGACCACACAGATCATGTCAAACCCCGAAACAAAAATGGAGGAAACTAAAAGCCTCAGTTTGGAAGAGGATTTTGAAGGACAGGCCACACACACAGGTAAAAAACACACTAAGCAAAACATTCCCTTATTTAATTGAAAACAAATCTAAAGCCTACATTAAGTTGCCTTCCTAGAGTTGAGATTTCCTTATTTTTTTCTAGATCTCAGAGAACTTAGAACTGTTTCATTTTCTACTTCTCCGTCCTCTTATAATTTACTCAGGTACCTACCTAAATATTACCTCTACTATAATGGTACAGCACACATTTATTAAGCACCTACTGTATGGAAAACAGTGTGCTAGCACTGAAAGTGATAAAAAAAAATTTAGACAAAATATGACTTCTGCTCTCAAGGAGTGTACCAGAGGGATGATGCCAAAATAGCTATAGTGATAAATGTATAAAGTTAACACAGAAGTATTAAAATATAAAAGAGTGACAAAAGAAAATGCTATTTGAGGTCAGAGAGGGAAGGTCATTCCTGACTTGCAGATGGGAGAAGACTTCTTGAAGCAGATAACATTTGTATTAGATTTTAAAGTTTAACTAGGGGTACAATAGGGAAAGAAGGAAAGAGAGTACAATACTAGCAATTCCCCTTCATCCTATGATTGTAATCTAATTATTATATCACAGTGATTTTAAGTGTTCTTTTGTTGATATGTACATAACTCACATATTCATAATGCAGAGGCTTTTGGATGATTCTATGCCAAAACCTATTTAACATGCTTAAAACAGGAGGGTGTTTTTATTATCAAGGCAATCAGAGACATCCAGCCCCAGCAAGTCATTGGTTTCACCAGCAGGAGAAGACAAGTCTGTTTCTAAGACAACACGTATATAAACTTCAGAAGTACAAGCTGCCCTCCTGATAGTCTAAAGAGCAAATAACAAATCTCCTTTATTCCAGGCCCCAAAGGAGTTATCAATGATTGGAGAAAGTTTAAGTTGGAAAGTGAAGATGATGATTCCATCCCACCTAACAAGAAGGAAATTCTCAGACAAATGTCTTCTCCTCAATGTCGCGATGATAAAGACACAAAAGAAAGATTCAGCAGAAAGGTAAGAAGAAGAGATGATGTTATTTTTGCAAGAAAAGGTAAGTATAAATCATGCAAATGAGGCAGATTGAAATCAGCCCCCCAGTGAATGGACTCCAGGGTTTTAAAAACTTTATGACACTCAATTATGATTTCAACTGAATTTTCTACTCCCAACACAGTTTAGTAGGTTAATGTTTTTGTTTTGCTGTCATAGAGATATTATCCTGAGCAAATACACAGTGCTCTTTAGTTATGCATTTGGCCCTCTTGGAACAACCGAAGGAAGCAAAAAGAGGGCATGATTAGGGGTTGAAAAAGTTTCATTTCCAGTTCATGACTTACTATGACCTTGAACAAATAACTTTCTCTGCTTCCTTTTTCCTGCCTGTAAAAGGATAATAATAGGTAATAGATAATAATAATAATAATAATAATAATAGATAATAACCTCCTCTGTCTACATAACAAAGTTGTGGGGATTTGAAAAGATATTAATGAAAGAATTTTGAAAAGTAAAAAGTGGTATGTAAAGGTTTTGGGTTCAGCAGAATCGAAGGCCCTTGTGGGCAAGAACTGTTTTGGTTTTGTACTTGTATTCTCAAGCACCAGCCCTGTGCCTTACATGAAGTAGGGGATCCATAAATGTTTGTTGAAATGGATTAGATCGGATTGGATTTTTTAAGACTAATACATGAAACTTTGGAAAATTGCTCCAATAGAAGAATGTAGGTATAGGAAATAGAGGAACATGTCACTTGTCAGCCCTCAACTTAAATCTGGAAGGCCATCATTTCATCTAAAACCCTTATTTTATAAAAAAAGAAACTGAGGCACAGAGAGGTTATGTGATTTGCTTAAGTTCACACAGCTAGCAAGTAACACAAGCCAGGATTTTGAGTCTACATTTATTACAGTGCAGGGAGAGGAAAGGAGCATGGGATTTGGAGTTGGAGGACCTGATTTGAATCTGGGCTCTGCCACTGTGTAACTTTAAGGCAAGTCACTTATCTTTCTGTGGCCTCAGTTTTCACATCTGTAAAATGTGGGGCTTAGATAAAATAACCACTAAGATGTCTTCAAATTCTAAAGGACCATGATTCTAAATACTTTACTTTGTGCTAAGCACTGGGGAAAGAAGAACAAGAACAAACAAAAAAAATAGTCCTTTCCTTCAGAAGCAGCTGAGATAGTTCAAGTGAATAAGAGTGCTAGGTCTGGAGTCAGGAAAATCTGAGTTCAAATTAGGCCTTAGACACAGACTAGCTGTGTGATCCCAGACAACTCATTTAATAGTTCTCTGCTTCAGTTTCTTCAACTGTAAAATGTGGATAATAATAGCATCCCTCCCCAGGGTTGTTGTGAGGATCAAATGAGATATTTATAAAGTGCTTAGCACAGAGCCCGGCATATAGTAGGTGCTTAATAAATGCTTGTTTTCTGTCTTCCTTCTTTCCTTTCCTTTCCTTTGTTTCTTTCTTTCTTCCTTCCTTCCTTCCCCAAGAGCTTCCATTCTAATGGATCTAATTCATTGTACTTGTGCTTTTCAAAATCCCTGTCATAAATATCTTATTACATATTCACCATTGCATGGATGGGAAAACAGGAACAAAATAAACCCAAAATCTATTGCTCTTGCCACTAACACCTCATCCTTTAATCAATCAATCAATAAGCATTTATTAAGTGGCTACCATTTGTCAGGTACCATGATAAATACTAGGGATACAAATACAAAAAAAAAAAAAAACAATCGCTACACATGAGGAACATATGTGTGTATATACATATATACATATGTAATGAGATTAAATACAATAAGGTTAAATACCAGGTGGTTAGGAAGGGAAGCCACTAGCAATCAGAGGAATCAGAAAAGGCTTAATGTACAATGTGGTACTTCAGCTAAGTCTAAAAGAAGAGAATCCTTTGTTGAGGCAGGGATGAGTAGGGATTGTATTCGACTTATGGGGCTTGGTCAGAGCAAAGACACAGAAATGAGAGGTAGAGTATTACAAATGAGGAAAAGAGAGAAGGCCAGTTTGGTTGGATTGCATTTTGTGGGGATGAGATGGGAGATTTAGGTTGGGGCCAGGTTGTGAAGGTCTTTAAAAGCTAAACAGAGGAATTTATATTTTATCCTAGAGGCAATAGATAGTCATTGATATTGACTGAGTAGGGCAGTGACATGGTCAGATATGGGTTTGTTTGTTTGTTTGTTGTCACAGATGAGTGTGCAAGAATATGAACTCATCCACCAGGACAAAGAGGATGAGGACTGCCTCCGTAAATACCGTAAACAATGCATGCAAGACATGCACCAGAAGCTGAGCTTTGGACCCAGGTATGGGTTTGTAATTGAGCTGGAGAGTGGGGAGCAGTTCTTGGAAGCCATTGAGAAGGAACAGAAGATCACCACAGTCATCGTTCACATCTATGAGGATGGTATTAAGGGCTGTGAGGCCTTGAACAATAGCTTAAACTGCCTTGCTGTAGAATACTCCATGGTAAAGTTTTGTAAAATCAAAGCTTCTAACACAGGTGCCGGGGATCGCTTCTCCTCAGATGTACTTCCAACATTGCTGGTCTACAAAGGTGGGGAGCTTATCAGCAATTTCATTAGTGTCACTGAGCAGTTTGCAGAAGATTTTTTTGCTGTGGATGTTGAGTCTTTTCTTAATGAGTATGGGTTACTTCCCGAAAGGGAGATCCATGCACTGGAGCAGGCCAGCATGGAAGATGAAGATATTGAGTAATTTGAGGTATAATATTTTAATATCTCAAATTTCTCTTTTTTCTATTACAAAGAGATCTCTTTTTCTTTCTTTTTTCTTTTTTTTAGAAAAATCTGTATGTAGTAATTGCTACTCTAACATGTAAAACCTAACACAATAAGTAAATAACCTGGATTATGTGGATTTCTTAGCTTTAAACATGTCAGCTTTCTTTTCAAGTCAATAATATTATGCCTTTACTATGTGTTTTAGGATGTAGCCTTCAGCAGTGTTATAGACAGATTAAGAGAGAACTAATGATATTTTAACATTTTGGAGGGAATCAATTTTCCTTTTCTGAATTAAAAAAAAAAGTCTCTGGCCTTTTTCTCTTTGGTTCTGTCCTCAGGATTACTGTTTGAAAACTAACTATATTCTGTTTATGTAATACTAATAAAGCTGCAGGAGTGAATATTTTTTTCTTCGTGAAATCCATTCCTTCTCACTTATTAAATTTTGTAAGGCCCTAGAAAAAAAATGAGAAATTCCCAAAATGTGATACAAAATCATTGTTATGTAGGGTTAGTATACATGTCAAAGAAAAAAAAACTCACCATGGTACAACTGATTCTCCTAATCTTTAGTGCCACTCCAAAAAAATTATGTATATATATATGTATATATATATATATTCTATATTTGTTTATAGGTTGTGTTCTTCTCCTTCCCCAGTGGACTAAAAGTTCCTTGAGGGCAAGGACCTTTTTTGTCTTTGTACCACTAGAATCTAGGCTAGTACATGGTAGGTAATTTAAAAAGCTAACTGAATTAAATTGAATTACTTTAAAGTTGAGAAGACAAAGTGTACCCCTGAGCTAAAATTCCTTCATCTGTAAAATTAAGATAATAAAATTAGTAATACCTACATGCTTGCAGGATTATAAATTTGGAGCCGGAAAGGACCTCAGAGGAAACCACCATCACTACCCCTTATTTTATAGATAAGGAAATTGAGGCACAGAAAAATTATGACTTGTCCAGGGTCACAGAGCTACTAAGTATTTGAGGCAGGAATTGAACCCAGATCTTTACTGCAGGTTGAGGTCCTTATGCAGTAAGTCATACTGCCTTACAAGGTCACTGAAAGTCTCAAAAGAGTCATGTGAATTTCAGCAACAACAAAAATGCTAAGTTTCTCCATATTTTTAATGTAACCAGTCAAAACTGCTAATGGCTCCAGGGATACTGGGAACTTCCCTCTCTCCCTCTCAAGGACCCTCAAGCTCTGGATCCATTCACACAGTCTGGTGAATTTAGGGGTCCCTCTTCTTAAGGGCCAGGTTCTTTTATTCCAACTCTTTGTCTCTTTACACCTCTCCTCAGAACCCAAAGGAAAATCACTTAAAACTTAGATTTGGACATGGAAAAGGTAACTAAACAGAAGGAATAGAAAAATACTCAACATACAATGTAAATCACATACAGGACAACTATTTATTTACTTCACACAAAAGAAATGCCAAGTCCACAAGACTCACAAAAGCATATTGACAAAAACTGACAAAAAATTTAAACAATTAAAAAGGAACTTAGAAGTTGGTACTTAAAACATCAAAACATGAGCTAGTTTATGAGACGACTCAATTAGAGTTTCACTATCACCTTGGCTCTTCACTGTCCAAACTACTCCTCCCAGGTCCAGGGCAAGCCAGGGCAGCTTCGGGGCTCCTTCTCCTGTCAGTAGTCATCTTCTCCAGGAACCATAGGAGAGCCTCCCAACGTATAACCAAACATACCTAGGGAACCTAGGAATAGCTAGATTCAAGATAGGAACTCTTGAAAAGTCCATCTTTCAGGATCAATGTTATGCTCAGAGAAACTCATAGTAAAAGAGGCAACCAGAGCCCCAAGCCCACACTCATCTAGCAGAACCCCTGCTCCAGCTAGCAAATGAAAGCAATGCCCAACCCTTCCTTCTCCACCCAACAGGAGATCGCAGAGAAAATCATTTGCTCCATGCTCTGGGAAGAAAGAGAAAGAACAGTAAGAGGGTAGAGTTACTCCTTTTAAAGTCTGCTGAACAAGTAGCTCTTCCTAGCTCAGTGCTCAGTTCTATCCTTACTGATGCCATTCCCTGCCCTGCTGCCATCATGGAAGTCAATGGCTATTTCATCCCAAAATGCCAAGTCTTTTAGCATTGAGATGTTTATGTCCCAAGAAGTTGCTAGAGGAGCTCAAGCACATGCTTCATGGAATGTACTCTAGCTAGCCAGAAAAACTAGAGAGGGACTTCCCCTAGTTACACCCATTACACATTTTTTTGTCCATATTTTGTTTGGACCTGTGATCTCATTAGCATAGGGAACTCCCCAAGAATTCCCTCTGTCATTTGTAGTCTTATACAGTTGCCTGGGGCACTGGTTGGGAGGATTCTTAATACTTTTTAATAGTGAAATTTGCCTGCTACGTACCAGACAAAAGGCACAGTTGTAGGCCTAATGTACATAGCAACCTAGTTTTTTTTGCAATACATCTATGTGCTTTGTGATGTTCCACTCTACTTCTACCTCTGACACCTGCTTCCTGCTGCAATTAATTCTCCCACCCACTTATCCTTTACTCTTCTCCCTTTCCCCCCTCCCCAACCTCCCTGGCACAGGAAAATTCTATCTCTGATATTGCTCAATTCAACTCAACAAACTTCTTATTAAAAGTTCCAATTATATGGGAGGCACTACACTAAGTCCTGGGGATCCAACAATGAAAAGCAACACAGTTCCTGCCTTCAAGAAGCTTACAAATTAATTGAGGGATATAACAGGCACAAAAATAAGTCAATATAAGGTAGAAAGTGATGGGAGCCAAGAAGAGATCCCATGAAATGCTCTAAGTCAAAATTTGAGGTGAGTAAGTCTACTCTTTATAGTCCTCTGTTAGAAAAAACAAAGGTCTACATTACATCAATTTTTAAAAATGTAGATGATTATATCTGTTGAAGTTAAAAAAAATAGTCATGAGGCCATTAGATAAGAAAGCATAAACTCTATCAGTGGTTAGGAATGTAACTAGCACAACACAGAAGAAAGAATCATGAGCTTCCTCCACCTAGGCTATCCTCACCTTCTTAAGAGAGGGGGCAAAAAATAAGGTTTGTATAGGAAGGGCAGAGAGCTAGGTTCAGGCTATGATTGAGGTAAAAGGAAGGAATTTAGTTAAAATCTTAATGAGCAAGACTAAGCAAAGAGCTCCAAGTCTGCCTGCCCCATGGCCAGTCCAAGTCTTCCTAGAGCTTGCACATATATCTGACAGAGCTTCAAATCCAGGGATTGTTGCTGACAGATCTTGCTCTAAAGGGGTCAGGAAAAGAAGAGAGGAGAAAAGTATATCCTCTCCCTATTCTCTAATCTTTCCCCACCCTTTAAAATCCTTCTCATTTCAATAAGAACTTTTTCCCCCTTTCACTCAGTTAACCTTTCACACTGGGCTCTTTTCAGAAAGACTATATAAACTTTAGAACTTCCATGCCAACTTATTACATTATTACATTTTTTATTACATTATATTAACATTTTGGGGATTTGTTCCTTTTCCTCTGACCTAAATTTCAGATCACCATATACATAAGATAACATCATCCATGAGTGTCTGAAAAACTTCTTAGATGGCATTAGGATAAAAAGAAGAAAGCTATCGATCAACAAAAATTCATTGAGCCTGTACTATGTGCCAGGCACTAAAGATACACTTTCCCTGCCTGCTAGAAGCTTCTATTCTTATAGGCAAATACAACATATATAGTGGACTAGGAAGAGAGTTTTGGTCCACATAGCTATTGGGCTTCCCAGGGTAAGCAGACTGTCACAGCCTATCCAGTAGTCAGGGTAATGGATGGTATTGGTTTAATTATTGTTCCCATACCTAGAGTAAGAGCTAAAATTGCAAAGAGGTCAGGGCAGGGCAGATGTCAGGATGTTCATGCTGATAATAGTGCCTGTAAATGGCTGGATGGGATGTAAAGCAGGGTTTAGAGACAGTCATTCAGTCAATAAGCATTTATTAAGCACCTACTAAGAGCCAGACACTGTATTAAGCACCAGAGATATAAATATAAAAAAGAAATAGTCCTTGCCCTCAAGGAGCTTACAGTCTAATGGAGGAAAACACACAAAAAGAAGCTAAAAAAATACGGGTGGGGTGGGGGAGAATACATAGTGGGGACAATATTCAGTAAACATATTAAGTGCCTAATATGTGCCAGGCACAGTGCTAAATGCTGAAAGATACAAAAAATAAAAAGAGAATCCCTACCCTCAAGGAGTTCACAATCTAATCAGGGGGACAATAAGTAAACAAATGTGTACAAACAAGCTATATACATGATAAATAGGAAATAAGAGAGGGAAGCACTAGAATTAAAAGAAGATGGGATTTTATTTGAGACTTAAAGGAAGCCAGCGGGGAAGCTAGGTGGCACAGTGAATAGAGCACCAGCCCTGAAGTCAGGAGGACCTGAGTTCAAATCTTGCCTCAGACTAAACTCTTGACACTTACTAGCTGTGAGACCCTGGGCAAGTCACTTAACCCCAACTGCCTAAAAAATAAAAATAAAAATAAAAATAAAAATAAATAAAGGAAGCCAGGGAATACAGTAAGCAGAAATGAGGGAAGACAATGCTCCAGTCATGTGGGACAGCTAGAGAAAATGTCTGGATATAAGAGATAGATTGTCTTGTTCACGGAACAGCAAGAAGTCCAGTATCACTGGATTGAAGAATACTTGGTGGAAGTAAGATATGGGGGCTGGAAAGATAGGAGGGAGTTAAGTTATGAAGGTCTTTAAAAGTCTTTGAAAACCAGAGGATTTTGTATTTGATCCTGAAGGTGACACTAGAATTTAATGAGTGCATATGGCGGGAGAGGTGACATGATCAGACTTGTGCTTTAGGAAAATCAGTTTGGTGGCTAAATAGAGGACAGATTGCAGTGGACTTGAGACAGGCAGACCCACCAGCAGGCTATTCCAATAGTTCAGGTGTGAGGTGATGACAGCCTGCACCAGAGTGGTAGCAGCATCAAAGGAGAGAAAGGGGCTTATTGGGGACATACTGCAAAAGTGAAATTGGCAGGCACTGGAGTTGAGGATGACACCTAAGTTATGAGCTTGAGGTACTAGGAGGATAGCGCTACTCTACAGTAAAAGGAAAGTAAGGAGGGGGGAGGGTTTATAGGGAAAAATAATAAGTTCTCTTTTAGATATATTGAATTTAATATGTCTACTGGACATCCAGTTCGAGAAGTCTGAGAAGCAATTGGAGATGTTAGATTGGAAGTCAGCAGAGAATTTGGGTCAGTTGCTGAGAATCATCAGCACAGGGATGGTAACTAAATTCCACGAGAGCTGATGAGATCACTAAGTGAAGTAGTATAGAGGGAGAAAAGAAGAATGCCCAAGATAAAACCTTGAGTTCTAAT